ATCGTAGTATCACTGGTGACCTCATGATGTTTTCCCTCAAACAGACCAACTAAAGCTGGTGCAGAATATTCTGGACCATGCAACATTCTGTTAATAGTAGCCTCAAAAATATTTATTGATTTTCCCCAAACTTAATTGAGTTGTGTGGACCCCAGGTAATAGCAATGTCTTTCTGTCCACGTTTCGTAGTCTCTGTTTATGCAGCAAAGTTCATCAGTGTAGCTGCATAAGATGAATAAAAGTCTCTAGCCAGGTGGCTAGAGTATTCTCTTGGTGCATTGTCCACTAGTCGAACTGATGAAGTTGAAATATCTGATAGATGTCGGGGAATGCTTTAATATCCTCTACCACCACCCTAGTCTCAGGCATGATTGCTCGAGTCTTGAAGCCACCAGTTTTGTTCACAATGCCATTGTTGAAGAATTCTTTGGACCGATTGACAGTCCACATGGAGCAATAACAATAAATCAGATGTTGTTTCACTGCGGGATTAGGTTTATGCATATTCACATACATCACCATGGTGTTATCGATAGTGATCTCTATATTCTCATCTGTAGCATCTACCTTATCCCATACTCCAGTTTCAGCTTCTGTATTTATTACAGGTGGAGAGGTGGTTGCATCTTCATGAGAGCCACTTTTAGACTCTGCACTGCCTCCCGAACCATCATCTGATTGGCTACCATAAGCAACATCATATTTACATCCTGAGTCCTCCCCATTACTAGAACGACTGATTGGCTACCAGAAGCAACATCATATTTACATCCCGAGTTCTCCCCATTACCAGAACAACTGCCTCCCTCTTCAAACGAGGAGGAGTGTCTCAGAGAATTGCTCTCTTTGTCTGTGCTCTAGTAGTCAGAGGTGAGTGATCTTCAGGTGTGACATTTATATGCACCTCGGAACTACTAGACTCGGAGTCGTCATGACCTTCTGATTGAGAAACAGTGTGGGGGGGGGGCAAGTTTGGTTGCATTCTTTCTTCGGGGAGGCATAATACATGAGAAACTGTAACGACTTGCAAAATGATAGGTTAAACTAGAGCCTCATTGTGTGGGTTAGTATAACCTTAAGTAGATGTCTAGGCTATTTTAGAAATTAATTGAGCAAGGAAGAAGTCTAGGGTGCAAGAAAGGACCTATGCTAGCAAGATAGAGTGAAAGAAATTTTGTTCTTTGATGGACCTTTTGACGATGGGACTACTTGATCACCAAAGTGACTTGGCGATGTGCCAAAGTGCACTTGGGGTCGCCTAGTGGGATGTCCCTTAGGACTAGGTTCTGGAACAAAGGGCGAGCTAAGTCGTAGCTCGCCAACCAGGTTGAGGAATCTCCCATTAGCCCCCTTCATCGCCTAGTGAACTGCCCATTTCGTGAGCCTACTGGTAAAAAGGGGCGAACCAAGGGTGTACTTGGTGAGTCGCCTAGTTCCCTTGGCGAGCCATGAGGGTCAAAGGGAGAGGTAAGTTGGGCAATGTGTAGATTTTTAAGTTTTAACTTTATGGGTCCTTAGTTCCTTTCCAAAGTTAAGTTCTCATTATTCTATTCTTTTCCTAACAACTATAAAACCCTTTTTAGACTTGAATCCCTTCAATTAAGTCACTCCAAATAGAATTAAGAGAAGACCCATCTCCTCTCAAATATTTCTCTTACTAGAATTCCTCCATTGAAGAAGAAGAAAGAGGGGAGGCTAGGGATTGAAGATTCAAGGTGTTTCTTCCTCAACTTTCGTGGGAAATCTATAGCAAGGTATGGTAGTCTTCATCCTTGTTTAACTTTTCATTGAAGGAGCCAATTTCAAGGTGATTTCAAGTTATCAAAAACCTAGGGTTTTACTAAATCTCATGGGTTCTTTCGCCAAACATTTTCAAATGGTTATTAATGACATATTATGATTGTATTAGTGTTTAATTAATGATTTATGATGAAAACACTCTATGAACCCATGAATTCTCTCAATTCCTATTTGTGCCCTTATGAAGTGGGTTTGATGATTATGAAAGCTTATGAACCGAATATTTCTAAATTGCTTTGGGTTATAGAATTGTGTCATTATCTATGCCTTAATTGTAGTAAATTGTTGGTGTTTTGGTGATTTGAGACTCATGGCCTTGAAGGGCAAATTATGATCAAATTATATATTGAAGTTGAATTGTGCTTGATCTATTTGATCCACTTGAAAGGTGGAGGTGTTTACTTACTATGTATATTGTGGTATTGAATTGATGGATATCTTCCTTGTACCTCTATATATGAAGGATCTATGTATGATCATGATGTACAGTATACGTGTGTGATTCCAATGAATGTATAATGATCAAGTTTAAAATGTAATTGTGTCATTGATTGAAAGCATATTCTCAATTAACATACATGAATGATGATGATGGAATGTGAAGGGTTTTCTCCTATGTGTTGTATCTTGAATTGGTAGTCTTAGGCATCTTCTTCTTGTACAATGAATGTATCTTGACTTAAAGTCTTAATATCTTCAATTGGTAGACCTAATATTGGTAGCCTTTCATAAATGAATGAATGCATGAATGAATGATAGAGTATTCTAGGCTAAACCTTGGATTGGTATACCTAATGTTGGTGACCCTTCATGAGGAGTCTAGGAACTAATGTAATGTAAAAACCTTGTATCGGTAGACCTAATGTTGGTGGCCCTTTCACGTGTTAAATGATGAACCTTGTATCGGTAGACCTAATGTTGGTGGCCCTTTCACGTGTTAAATGATGAACCTTGTATCGGTAGACCTAATGTTGGTGGCCCTTTCACGTGTTAAATGATGAACCTTGTATCGGTAGACCTAATGTTGGTGGCCCTTCTTGTAAAGTGAATGAGCTATCCTTAATGTACCTTGAATCGGTAGAACTAATGGTGGTAGCCATTTCTCGTGTAATGTACCTTGGGTCGGTAGTCCTAATGTTGGTGGCCCTGTCAAGTACAACAATGTAATGTGAATGAACTACCACATGGGAATGGAGGCTAAGCACCGAGTGGATATAGTAAGATGGTGACTCTCCCAATGTTAGGTTAGAGTCCAATGAACATCTTTCTTATCCCATAACTATGTGCCCATATAGGTAAAACACACTTAGTTCTACCTAAGGCAAGTGGAACACCTTTCTTCGGTGTAGGGTTACATGACACCGGATTCCATGATTTAGCTCTCATGATCTATGTTGGTTAATGCCTATTTCCATCATGTGAGATGAGCATTATGGTTTCTTGATGAGTTCTATGAAGTATGGTTGGTAGTATGGGATCCCATCTATGTATTTCACGAGTAGGCTTTGAGAGGGTCATAGTGAGTTCTCTAAGTCTTAATGGCTAATGTATGAATGTGTCCTAAATGAAGTTAATCAAGAATGTTAACTCTTATATGCTTAAATGAGATGATGTAAATGATGCATGCTATACTTGGATCATATCATGAGTTACTTCCTTGTCATGACTTATTGTATATGAACATGCCTTGCTTATGGTGACTTCAAAGGAATACTTAGTGTGAGTAGTAGTATGGGATGCTACTTGCACATTTCACGAGAATGACTTAGGGTTGTCTTAGGTGATGGTCCTTATGTGATGATATGACTTTTGAAAGGTTTGTCTCTTATGTGTGAGTATTGTGTGAAGATGGAAAGGTTGAATAGTAAGTTCACTTTTGGTGACCTTAAGGTGTTACTTTAGTGTGGATGGTGGTGTGGGACGCTATCCATAAATTGCACAAAGTATAGCTTAAGGGTTACTTGTGGTGAAGGCTAAATGTGAAGGTAAAGGGTTACATGTTGATTATGTTCTAATGTGGTTAAATGACTTGTATGTGGTTATGTTTGAATATTATTCCTCTTATTCTATAGTTATGAAATTTTATCAAAATGGCATACAAGCATGACTTTCAAACAAAATGTCCGTTTTAAGCATGTTTTTGCATGGCTATCATACTTAGTACTTAATTGTGCTAACCCATTCTTCTTCTATGTTCTTACTACAAGTATTGGTGTTGGTAAGTGATTTCTTCTATCTAGATTGAAGTGCTTGGATTGCTATTCTTCCAAGATCAAGTGGTATGTCCTCATAGATCGAGGACAAGTGTTTAGAAGCTTCCTTTATTTCATGTAATAGACAATATTAGTCTTTTCGATTGTAAAGGGGCCGTGACCCTACTTTAGTTTTCAAGTTATTGTTTAGATGGCTATGTGAGACTTAGAGTTCCGATGTGTCTTTCAAAAGATTTTTTAATAAGTATTTTGGTTTGTTTGGATCTAAATAAGTTTTAATTTCGTACTATTTTTTTTCCATATGCAATGAAATGCTATGAGGCTTGTATTAGACCACTTCGGGGTAGAATACGCAGTGTCGCATCTAGGGGCTAGTCTTGGGTCGTGACATACATGATATCAGACCATAAGATTTTGGAAATGGTTTTTAGGATTGATGTCTCACAAGCCACGTCTAGTAGAGTCTTGTTCATCGGTGTGAGTCGCGACAAATCTATGAGCGAGAAGCTATAGGACGTTAGGGAGTTACACTTCTTTCATTATTCTTGAAGTCGTGTCTTAGAGTTTAGATCTATAAGTGTCATTTTCCTAACTCTTCTTTTGTATTTATAGGATATGAATACAAGGGCTAACTTAAGAAGGATGGTAGAGGAGATTGTGAATGAGGGAGTTCCTCCCCAATGTCTTCAAGGCAACCAAGTTCCTCTAGGCAATAAAGGAAATCAAGTTTCGGTGGATCCCCTGGCTATGACCAATGAGGAAGTTAGGTTGGCTCTTTTGATGATGGCTCAAGCCGTAACTACTCAAGTTCAAGCCATGACAGCTCAAGCTACTAGGGGTGTTGAGGCTAATGTGAACCCCAATGTGAGTACTATGGTTTCTAGGTTGAGAGACTTTGCTTGGATGAATCCTCCGGTATTCCTATGTTCTAAGGTGGGAGAGGATCCCTAAGAGTTTTTGGATGAGGTGTATAAGATAGTCAATGCTATGGGAGTGACTTCTATTGAAAAAGTGGAACTTGCCGCCTATCAATTGAAGTATGTTGCACAAATTTGGTTTACCCAATGGAAGGCCAATAGGCCGGTTGGAGCGGTTCCCATAGAATGGGAGTTGTTTAAAGAAGCATTCCTTGGTAGGTACTTTCCCCGTGAGAAGAGGGAGGTTAAGGTAGAGGAGTTTATCAACCTTAGGGAAGGTAACATGAATGTTCAAGAGGACTCTTTGAAATTTACCCAATTGTCTAAGTATGCTCCGGTGTCTAACCCAATAGATGAGATGAGTCGATTTGTTACGGGTATATCTGACCTAGTTGAGGAAGAGTGCCATACGGCTATGCTCCATGATGATATGAATATTTCTAGACTCATGGTGTATGCTCAATCTATTGAGGAGTCCAAACTTAAAAGGAAGAATAGGGAGTTGAAGAGAAGTAGATCCGATGAGCTAGGTCAACCTAGGTTCAAGAAGAGAGCTTCAAATTAAGATTTTTGAAGCACTCCTAAGGGTAACCAAGAGAGAGATAGTGGACCTCCATATTCTAAACCTACTTGCCATAGTTGTGGAAATAAGCATTTTGGGAAGTGCCTAGCCGGTATTAGTGGGTGTTATGGTTGTGGAAAGAATGATCACCAAGTGAAAGATTGTCCTACTCTTACGGCTAGAGAAAGGGAGGCCAAACAAGCTTCTCTTAAAGGCCCGGATCTAGATGTTCCAAAGTGGAACCGTTTCTATGCTTTTCAAACTAACAAGGACAAATTAGCTTATCCGAATGAAGGCACCGGTAAGTGATAGTTCCTTATGGTTGTGAATGTCTTCTTGAGGTTCCTATGTTGTTTTCATGTTAGCCTTAGTTGGGTTTACTCCTAAGTGGGGGATATTATGTTCAATAGTAAGGTTGTTGAGAGTTTTGATATCCATATATCTTTCCTTCTATTCCTATTCAAGCTTGAGACCAATTGTTTCTTGTAGCTTATTTCATGTTTTTAGAGTCATGTGTGAATATGTGTTTCCATGGTCTCCTTATGATATGCATGTTCTTAATGAGTTTATGTTTGAATGAGAAAATGAGTTTATATGAATTATGTTCCTCTTGCTGATATGCATTTAGTATGAGTTTTCTATATGCTTCATGAGGTTAAATGTTGAACATGCCTAAATGTGTTTTTATAAAGATATTGCATGATGTACTTAATGTTGTTATGATGAGAATGATATGAGTTGGAAAAGGAAATTCCTCTAATGTAATGAGAAATGTGAAGTTTTGATGTATAATGAGTTTGTAGATGAAGTTCCTACTTTCATTAAGCTTTTTGATGTGAATTTGAAGTTTCCTCCTAGTTTTGTGCATTGTTTATGATGTTGCATGCGTAATGGGCTGCTAGTCTTGAGTCATTAACCCTTAATATGTTTTAAGTATCATTCTAGGACGAATGTTCCTAAGTGGGGGACAATGTGTTACTCGCAAAATGATAGGTTGAACTAGAGCCTCATCGTGTGGGTTAGATTAACCTTAAGTGGATGTCTATGCTGGTTTAGAACTTAATTGAGCAAGGAAGAAGTCTAGGGTGCAAGTAAGGACCTATGCTTGCAAGATAGAGTGAAAGAAACCTTGTTCTTTGATGGACCTTATGGCGATGGGACTACTTGATCGCCCAAGTGATTTGGCGATGCGCCAAAGTGCACTTGGGGTCGCCTAGTGGGTTGTCCCTTAGGAATAGGTTCTGGAACAAAGGGAGAGCTAATTCGTAACTCGCCAACCAGGTTGACAAATCTCCCATTAGCCCCCTTTATCGCCTAGTGAACTGCCCATTTCGTGAGCCTACTGGAAAAATAGGCAAGCGAAGGGTGGACTTGGCGAGTCTCCTAGTTCCCTTGGCGATCCATGAGGGTCAAAAGGTGAGGTAAGTCGGGCAAAGTGTAGATTTTTAAGTTTTAACTTTGTGGGTTCTTAGTTCCTTTCCAAAGTTGAGTCCTCATTATTCTATTCTTTTCCTAACAACTATAAAACCCTTTTTAGACTTGAATCCCTTCAATTAAATCACTCCAAATAGAATTAAAAGAAGGCCCTATGATGAAAATACTCTATGAACCCATGAATTTTCTCAATTCCAAATTGTACCCTTATGAAGTGGGTTTGATGATTATGAAAGCTTATGAATGTAATATGTCTAAATTACTTTGGGTTATAGAATTGTGTCATTATCTATGCCTTAATTGTAGTAAATTGTTGGTGTCTTGGTGATTTGAGACTCATGGCCTTGAAAGGCAAATTATGATCAAATTATATATTGAAGTTGAATTGTGCTTGATCTATTTGATCAACTTGAAAGGTGGAGGTGTTTAATTACAATGTATATTGTGGTACTGAATTGATGGATATCTTCCTTGTTCCTCTATATATGAAGGATCTATGTATGATCATGACGTAAAGTATATGTGTATGATTCCAATGAATTTATAATGATCATGTTTAGAATGTAATTGTGTTATAGATTGAAAGTATATTCTCAATTAACACACATGAATGATGATGATGGAATGTGAAGGGTTTTCTCCTATGTGTTGTATCATGAATTGGTAGGCTTAGACATCCTATTCTTGTATAATGAAAGTATCTTGACTTAAAGTCTTAATGTCATGAATTGGTAGACCTAATATTGGTAGCCTTTCATGAATGAATGAATGAAGGATAAAGTATTCTAGGATAAACCTTGGATCGGTAGACATAATGTTGGTGGCTCTTCATGAAGAGTCTAAGAACTAATGTAATGTAAAAACCTTGGAGCGGTAGACCTAATGTTGGTGGCCCTTTCATGTGTGAAATAATGAACCTTGTATCGGTAGACCTAATGTTGGTGGCTCTTCTTGGAAAGTCAACGAGCTATCCTTAATGTACCTTGAATCGGTAGACCTAATGGTGGTGGCCATTTCACGTGTAATGTACCATGGGTTGGTAGGCCTAATGTTGGTGGCCCTGTCAAGTACAACAATGTAATGTGAATGAACTACTCTATGAGAATGGAGGCTAAGCACCGAGTGGATATGGTAAGATGGTGACTCTCCCAATGTTTGGTTAGAGTCCAATGAACATCTTTCTTATCCCATAACTATGTGCCCACATAGGTAAAACACCCTTAGTTCTACCTTAGGCAAGTGGAACACCTTCCTTCATTGTAGGGTTACATGACATTGGATTCCATAATTTAACTCTCATGGTCTATGTCAGTTAATGACTATTCCCATCATGTGAGATGAACATTATGGTTTCTTGATGAGTTCTATGAAGTATTGTTGGTAGTATGTGATCCCATCTATACATTGCGCGAGTAGGCTTTGAGAGGGTCATAGTGAGTTCTCTAAGTCTTAATGGTTAATTTATGAATGTGTCCTATATGAAGTTAATCAAGAATGTTGACTCTTATATGCTTAAATGAGATGATGTAAATGATGCATGCTATACTTGGATCGTATCATGAGTTACTTCCTTGTCATGACTTATTGTATATGAACGTGCCTTGCTTATAGTGACTTCAAAGGAGTACTTAGTGTGAGTAGTAGTATGGGATGCTACTTGCACATTGTACAAGTATGACTTAGGGCTGTCTTAGGTGATAGTCCTTATGTGATGATATGACTTTTGAAAGGTTTATGTCTCTTATGTGTGAGTATTGTGTGAAGATGGAAAGGTTGAATAGTAAGTTCACTTTTGGTGACCTTAAGGTGTTACTTTAGTGTGGATGGTGGTGTGGGACGCTATCCATAAATTGCACAAAGTATAGCTTGAGGGTTACTTGTGGTGAAGGCTAAATGTGAATGTAAAGGGTTACATGTTGATTATGTTCTAATGCGGGTAAATGACTTGTATGTAGTTATGTTTGAATATTATGCCTGTTATTCTATATTCATGAGATTTTATCAAAATGGCATACAAGCATGACTTTCAAACAAAATGTTCGTTTTAAGCATGTTTTTGCATGGCTATCATACTTAGTACTTAATTGTTCTAACCCATTCTTCTTCTATATTTTTACTACAAGTGTAGGTCTCAACAAGTGGTTACTTCTTGAAGTTCTTGGATTTCTGTTCTTCCAAGATCAAGTGGTATGTCCTCATAGATCGAGGACAAGTGTTTAGAAGTTCCCTTTATTTCATGTAATAGACAATATTAGTCTTTTCGATTGTAAAGGGCCGTGACCCTACTTTAGTTTTTAAGTCATTGTTTTGATTGCCATGTGAGACTTAGAGTTCCGTTATGTCTTTCAAAAGATTTTTAATGAGTATTTTGGATTGTTTGGATTTAAATAAGTTTTAATTCCACACTATTTCTATGTCAAATGCAATGAAATGCTATGAGGCTTGTATTAGACCCCTTCGGGGTCAAGTACGCTGTGTCGCATCTAGGGGCTAGCCTTGGGTCGTGACAAACATGGTATTATAACATAAGATTTTGGAAGTGGTTTTTAGGATTGATGTCTCAAAAGCCACATCTAGTAGAGTCTTGTTCATCGGTGTGAGTCGCGACACATCTATGAGCGAGAATTTAACACTCCATATTTTAGCGAGTTGAACTAGTGTGTTGTAGAGTCTTGTAGTGGAGTTTTAGAGTGTCGTATGAGTGTTAAAATCAAGAAAAAGGACTCCCGTACTTAGAATGACATGTTTAGGGGTAAAACATCTGGGTACGACTCTCCCAGAACCACCCAAGGGATCTTTGAAGAGGACCCCAACACTGCCCAAAAAGCTGTCAAAACACCTTGATTCACGACCCCTATTGACGCCCCTTAGATCAACCTACCTCGTAGGTCATTGGCATAGGTCAGGGCCTTGAACACCCTAAAAAATATGAGTCTCTGACCCAAACCACGAGACCCAACCACATCCAGTAGACCCATCCACGGTCCGTGGATGGGGTCTCGTAGGTGCTGCCAGGTTTTGTTAATTAGTTTTAAGTGAGGAGTTGAGGGTTAGTTTAGTAATTAGTTTAGTGGTTAGGAGGGGCGACTAGTTAGTTAATTAACCTCCCTAAATAGTTAATATACCCTAAACTAATCACTTTAACTCATTCATCTTAGAACTCCCAAACTACTCTCAAGAAATTCTCTCTCTAGAAGGAAAGAAGAAGAAGAACAAGAGGGGCAACATCTAGGTCGATTCACCATTGATTTCAAGATTTGTTTAGGGAATTTATTAAAGGTATGTGAAGCTTAATCATCCATTGGTTCTTCCACGCATGGAGCCCCCATAGTCCCCCCCCCACCCAATTGTGAACTAAAAAACCTAATTCTAGCTAGGGTTGTGATTGCATTGTGGGTAGGGCTTGGGTGTGATTCCAATCTAGTGGATATCACCAAATTATGATTGATTTAGCTTTGATTAATGATAATGTGATGATTTCACGTGTTTCTATGATGAACCCTAATCTAAATTGATGAATATGATCTTTGTGGGTTTATTCCATTAGAGGCAAAATTTAAGGTTCTAAAGTGATCTTCCTATTTCAATATCTTGAATACTAATTGATCATAGTTAGGATCATCTAATAATGAATTGAACTATACTTGATTGAATAGGAAGGATCTTGACTTTTTAAGTTAGAATTGAACCTTTCTGCTCAATTAAGACTAGAATCACCTAATAATGAAAGATGTGATCAAATTACCTTGAAATCTAGGTATAAAGAAGAGATTAAGAAAGGAACCTTAAGAGTAGGCTTTGTGATCATGATAGTTAGGGATTTAGGGTGAAACTAATGTGAATAACTATTGATGAAAAGGCTTGAGAGTAAAGTTTAAAAGAGGATAGAAGTCTAGTAGGTTGAATTGTGATGAAAGGCCTATACTCACCTAACCTACCTTAGGAATGCTTTATAGATGAAAGTGATAGAATCACTTGAACATAGATTGATTGTCAAGAACATCTTTCCATGAGAGATGAGTGTTAAGCAAGGCTTAACAAGTAAACCTTGAGGTGTATGCTTGGCCTCAAGTGGATATTGAAGATGAGGTGGAGTGTCACACAAGATAGGGTCCGAACTCCAAGAAGAAAGGAGAGCAACACCTAGTTGATGTGAGGACGCTCGTAAGGAACCTTCAATATCCAACCCCACGTGGAACCTGCCCTAAGAGCTATTTTCGAGAAAAAACATGGTCATTCTGTAGATCCGAGATAGAACTCTGGTCCTGCAACTCCTTCCCTTGATAGCCTTGAGTTGTTGGTTACACCGCACCAGAAAAGCACTCTCTGGGAAATCTGGATCTTTCTCAGCAGGGACAGTACCAAGGATATCAGGGTAGATAGCTTTTTTTTCTCTGGTAGTCTAAAATCTTTCCAATCACTCGGGAAAGCCTATACCCGAAAGAGGGAACAAGTTAAACGGGGAACTCTTACGTAGTAGAGTGTGGGTTGTCCCAAAGTTAGGTCTCTTGAGATGGGAACCTTCACATAGTGGAGTTAAGGTTCTTAGTAGCAATCTCCATATCCTATGTACTAAGACATGCTTGAGAAGTATCTCATAGTGTTCTAAAGCATAATTGAACTAAGACTTACTTAATAAAGTACCTCATAGTGTTCTAAAGTTAAAGAGAGGAACTAGGTTCCAAACTAAGAAGTGTTAGCATGAGGACCTAAAGGTAGTACTTAGCATGTATAGTATTATGGGATGCTATGCATGCATTGCACAAGTATGACTTAGGGTCATTAAAGAGAAGTCTTGAGATAGGATTAGGCTAGAGTTGCCTTTCCTAGTTATAGTTGACTAAAGGTGAGAGATTCCCTTAGTTATGAGAGTTAAGCTAATAATGAGGCCAAAGTAGGGTGAATATGACTAGGATGACATCAAGGCTATGCTTAGTATGAAGGGTAGTATGGGATGCCTGATGTTTGCGTAATCAATGACACGTCTTACAGTTTGGGTGTCTACGATCGTGCAATAGTATAGTAACCCAACCAAGGATTGGGGTCGTGTCCCAAGGGAGTGGTTTTGAGAATTAATTGAAAATTAGAATTTCATTCTAATTAGTGGTAGTTAAAGAAGTTAACGAATAAAAACATAGTAAATAAAGGGGGTGATACAAAAGTATCAAATATCAAATGGAGGTTTTGTCACAAATAAACTAAAATTAGCAAGATTAACAAGAAAATCTAACAATGAGAGGGGGATTATTGGGATTTGACCGGAATACGGGTTAATCTAAAGTATTGGGTACATGCTTTCGATAGAAAATTTATAAAGTAATAGTGACTAGGCTAAGCTTTATGTGGGAATAAGTTCTCTCTCGAGCAACTTACCCCGTTTCAAATGGGTTCCTCTCGGACACTCACTTGCCGCATGAAGACCAGCCTACGCCTTACCCCACTCACTCTCTCGAGTTGAGTGTTAGGATATGGGACTAGGGATCACCCTTTCAGTTCTCCTCGCTCAACATCAACCAATGCTCGTCCTGTGGCCAGAAATGGTCTTCCCAAAATAATGGGAACCTCAAAATCCACTTCGCAATCCAAGATCACGAAGTTTATCGGAAAGATGAACGTATCCACCTTTACAAGCACATCACATAGTATGCCCACAGGTCGCTTCACTGACCTATCTACCATCATCCTCATGGTTGTGGGTTTTTGAACTCCTAAACCCAATTGCTTGTAGATGGCCAGCGGCATCAAGTGTATGTTGGTCCCTAGATCACACAAGGCCTTTGAAAATTTGATCGATCCGATAGTGCATGGTATTGTGAATGCACATGGATCTTCCTTCTTCTGCACCAAAGACCTGGTAGAAATAGCACTGCAGTGATGAATATGGTTAGTCAAATTAATACTCACCGCTCTTTTCTTAGTAACCAAGTCCTTCATGAACTTGGCATATCCTGGCATCTGCTCAAGAGCTTCCACCAATGGGATGTTGACTGATAGCTGTCGTAGCATGGTGAACTTTGCACATTTTCCATCTTCGACTTTCTTTTTAAGCCTTTGAGGGAAAAGAGGAGGTGGTCTTGGGATTTTCTGTAACGGCAAGGTTCCCTGAACCTCTTTTTCTTTAGCTACTGCTGGTTTAGATATTGGTTGAGCATCCTCCAAGTTATCTACTTTCTCAGCTTCAACTTCCTCTCTTCTAGCTTGTTCCAACACCTGCTCATGTTTAGCACCTGCATAAATAGGGTCAGTAAGAATCTTACCACTTCTGGTGGCAATAGCCATGCAATGCCCATCATTCTTAGGGTTCTGGATCGTGTCACTTGGTAGTGACCCATTCTTCCTTTGATTTAATGAGGCTGAAAGTTACCCCAACTGCTGCTCAATCTGCTTGATGGAGGTGGTATGAGATTTTACCAATTGACTCATACTGGAGAAATCACTTTTCATCTGCTTCACCCCTGCATTAGTTGATTCCACCTTTTGTAGCACCTTGGCTAACATGTCTTCCAGCTTAGACCCGCTGGAACTGCCACTTGCTTGATCTATATTACGTGGGGGCACATACATACCACTGCGATCATTCTTGTACCCATCTCTATTCTTCTAGTTTCCCTACTCTCTATTAGCTGGTCTATCATACTAGCCTTCCCTGGAGTAGTTTCGACCTACATTTCCAGAATTGTAACCTTGGTTGCCTGAGTTATAATTCTGGAAACATCTTTGGTTGCCCAGATAATTGGCCTCCTCATCTAGATCGATGTCCTGATCTTCATACCTGTTTGGTTGACTCACAACATTTACCTTTCAAACTTGGCAACAATATGCTTCGTGAGTAGATCTATTTGGGTCCTCATGTGTGCCATATCCTGATCCCTTTCCTCTTCTCTCTTCCTTTGTTCAACAGACATCTCAAATGTGTACCCCAAACTCCTACTTCTCCATCCCTGGTGTACCATGCCCTGTTATTATTTGACACTTCGTCCATTAGTTGCATGCTCTCTGAAAATGGCAATCTCATAAATGATCCTCCACACACTGCATCAATAACAGGTTTAGTGATATAATTTAAGGACCTGTAAAATGCCTGTTTTACATGTGTCTCAGTGAGACCATGGTTTGGGCATTTCTTCAGCTTTTGGCTGAATCTCCACCAAGTGTCATGCATCGCTTCTCCTGGTAGCTGCTTATAGGCACTGATCTCGTCTTTCATCTGCAACTCTTTTGATTCCAGAAAGAATCGCTCTAGGAAAGCCTCCTTCAACTCAGTCCAAGTCCTGATTGAGTCAACTGGCATCTCACTCAACCAGTTGGTTGCCTCTCCAGTAAGAGACAAAGGAAACAACCTCTATCTCATCGCTATTTGGCTTACTCCAGGAATCTCTTGCGATTTGCAAATCGCCACAAAGTTCATCAAATGCTGGTTAGCATCATCACCTACTGCACCCCTGAACATACCTTTCAAATTCAACAGTTGAATCATAGTGCTGGTGATTGTTAATTTAACACCTGGAGGTAGTGCAGGTAACACTATTGCTCCAGTGGCTCCAGCTCCATCCAAATCTAAGTCATCCTCCTCATACATCATGTGAGCTAGATGTTGTGCTCTACCCCTTGGAGCTATTGGTTAGTGATGAGGAGGAATGATTCCATCCACTGCTATGTTCTCGTCCATTGCCCTAGGTTGATTGTTCACAACATTCGGCTGAACACCTCTTGCGACGGTTTTAACTTTCAATCCAAATCTCAGTCTCTATACCTCAAGTTCTTGTGCGTTCACCATTTTCCGAATTGTCTTCCTAAGTTCTAGGTCGTATGAGACTAATGGGGCTCCCTTACTTTTGGTATTTGGCATACACAGTCGAACTCACCTGAAAGAGACAGAGACAAAGAACAAGACGTAAAATTAGGAAATCTAACTACACTAAGAATAAAAGCTAGTAAAATACTTTTGACAGGAAATTCCCCGGCAGCGGCGCCAAAATTTGATATGTCCAAACTTACACCTCAATTAAGAGATATAAACGATCGAAGTAAATTTATAGAACTCAACGTGAGTTGAGGTCGATCCCACATAGAATTCTTTACATAAATGATTTCACTGTCGCGTTTTACCTAAATGTTGTTATTTTTTCCTAAATAAACAATTGCGGAAAGTAAAATTGGGTTTAGTGTTAACACTTTGATAACCAAAGTTGCAAACTAAAGTCTAATTCAACAAGTAACAAAATATCAGTGTAGAAGTTGTTTCAATAATTAATTGAAACTAGGATTGTGTTCCCCATAACGTTGCATCTAATGTTCTTACTTAATTGTGTTTCAGGCAACTTACATCTACAAACTACATGCGAGTTAGCTATATCTAACATTTCTCAGTCTGCTAAGATAATCTTCACTCAAGTCCTCTCGGTCCTAGAGTGTTACACAATTTACCCTCACTTATAATGGTGTTAAGGTTCTTTTCTCTCGAACTCGAACGTTGACTCCAATTAGTTAGATCAGTTCAACTTTTTCCTAACTATCATTTTTCTCTTGAACAAATGACATATACAGGCTTAACCTAATGCGTGCACTCATCAGGATATGTGAATAACGAAAACTAAACTACAGTTTGTAACCACAAATTGTCTTTCACTCGTTTTACAAAATCACACTTAGAATTTCATCATGGAACCCACAACCCCAGTTGTGGTGTTTAGCTACTTATAATTTCATGTAAATGTTCAGAAATATAGAATGAAAACATGTTATAAAGTACTTACGAGAATAAGCAATCAACAACCACTTTGATATTTCAAGAATCCAAAATCGAAATCAAACTTAATTCCAAATCCAAAGTTGAAACCAAAAGCTATCAATACTCTGGTAACTTGTTCATCATTCAATGAAATATCCGAGAAAATAAAGACCTAATTAATTCAAATAAGTGTTTTAAAAAGAGTCCTACTCAAAGTAGGACTGAACTGTCGGACCCTTTCACGGCTACTTCCACGACCCGTCGAGGGCTTCACGATTCGTGAATCCCTCCGTGGTCTTCCCTTGGAACTCCCCAAAAGTGGGTCTTCAACACTTGACACTGGAAAGTCTTCACGATCACCACGACAAACCGTAATGAGGACCACGGTCCTTGAGGCCTTGCGTGGTCTTCACTTGGTCGAAACTGTATTTCAACTTCTCACCACTTAAACACTGGATCCACTTCACTATCAACACTACGGATCGTGATGACAACCACAGCCCATATAGGTGCCCGTGGTCTTAACTTGGCCACAATCAATTTGTAACTTTTCTTGTACCCTTCACTGGTTCATGACCACGACATGCACCACTGGCCGTTGTGAGGATCACGGGTCGTGAAGTGGTCCGTGGTATTCACTTGGTAACTTCTCTCTTCAACTTTTCAAAGCTCCTTCAATGTCTCAATACCAAGACACGCACCACGGGCAGTTGTGAGGATCACGACTCCTGAAGTCGTCTGTGGTCTTCACTTCCAATTTCACTGAATTTTCATTTTTGCTATCTTCTTTCACTTCCATTTGTTTCACCTGTACAAACACTACCAAACACATTATAGCTACATAAATACACTTGATTCAAGTATTAATCCTTAGTTTTCAAGCATCAAATGTGCCAAGATTTCGCGTCACATCAATGTGACACCCAATCCCAGTTAGTGTATCGGAATGTGACACCCGATCAATTCAACACAACCACAATCACATTCACAATCATAATGTACATACTCGCAGTCATACAATCAAGTGTGGAATTGTCACGACCCAGGGGTACCCCTTAGATGTGGCACGACGTACAAGACTCTGAAAAATCTCATACAAGCCTCATAGCATTCATGAACATAAGAACATAGGAAAATATAGCGAAATTTAAAACTTTTCTTTACAATCGAAGTCATTTTTCATAAAAAGAAAGCGGAAGCCTTTGTTTACTTTGTCTAAAACCATCTAGAACATAAGACTTAAAATTTTGGGACACATCCCATACAAAGCTCTAAACATAATAATACAGGACATAAAGGGAAATAGTAGGTTCATCCTCGAAACTATGAGGACTCACCAAATCTTCATCTCCAAGCTCCTTAGAAACCTATCCAAGTATAGAACATCAAATCTCCAAACCCTACACTTTTGTAGAAAATGAAGAAATATGATTTAGCACATTTAATGTACTAAGTATGATACCCATGCAAAAACATGCTTAAAAAGGACATTTTATTTGAAAGTCATCCTTTTATGCCAATTTGAGAAAACTACATGAACATAAGTATAAGAGGCATAATATACAAACATAACCAACATACAAGTCATTTCTACACATTAGATTATAATCAACCATATAAGACATTTCATTACATTAAGCTTTCACCTCAAGCAACCCCAAGTTACACTATGTGCAATGTATGAATAGCGTCCCATACAATACTCAAGGCCACCAAAAGTGAACTTACCATTCATCCTTTCCATCTTTACACAATACTCATACATAAGAGACATAAACATTTCATAAGGCATGACAAGGAAGTAACTCATAATACAATCCAAGTATAGCATGCATCATCACATTAAGCATCTAAGAGTCAACATTCTTCATTAGCTTCATTAAGAGCACTTTTATTCATTAGTCATGAAGACATTATAGAACTCACTATAGCCCCCTCAAAGCCTACTCGTGCAATGCATGGATGACATCCCATACTACCACCCACACTTCATAGAACCTCTCAAGTAACTAAAGTGCACATCTCACATGATGGGAATAAACATTAACCGACATAGACCATGAGAGCAAACCATGGAATCCGGTGTCATATGACCCCACACCGAAAGAAGGTGTCCTACTTGCCTAAGGTAGAACTAGATATATTTAGCTTAAGTGGCTCCACTAGCTAGACCTATGTGGGCACATAGTTATGGAATAAAAAAGATGTTCATTGAAATCCAGCCTAACGTAGGGAGAACTTCCATCTTACTATATCCTCTCGGTACTTAGCCTCCATTCCCATAGAGTAGTTCATTCACATTACATTATCATACTTGAGAGTGCCACCAACATTAGGCCTACCGACCCAAGGTACATTACACATGAAAGGGCCACCACCATTAGGTCTACCGAATCGAGGTACATTATAAGGATAGCTCATCGACTTTCCAAGAAAGGGCCACCACCATTAGGTCTACCGTTTCAAGGTTCATCATTTCACACAACAAAGGGCCACCAATATTAGGTCAACTGCTTCAAGGTTTATCATCACATTAGTTACTAGACTC